CAGCCCGGGGCTCCAGGCCCGGGACGCCGAGTCCGCCGGGAGCGGGGCCGCGCTCTTACCTCACTCGGCGCTGCGGTGCCGCCTCTGCAGAGCTCGCCGTGGCTCGGGCGGGTGGGCTGCTGCTCAAGTCCCTCTCTCCGGCTTGTAGTCCCCGGGCTCAATTTGGGTCCACGCCGGGTCGCGAGAGCCCCGCGGCCGGCGCTTGACTCCCGGTGGCGCTCGGTGCTCGGCGCCTCCAGCCCGGGCGGGAACAATGGAGCCAAAGCTGGTGCCCTGGAGGCGGGGCGGGGGGAGGGCGCCCGTCCGCCGCCCCGGGTCTGCGGACCTGGTGCCCCCTCTCCAGAAGCCGGCGGCGACGCCTCACGCTCCTCGCAGACCCCGCTCCATCGCCGTGCGGGGCCCGGCGCCGCGGCGCTTCCGACTGCAGCCCTGGTGCCGCGCGCCCGGCGGGGCGCCCCTCGGACCGGAGAAAAGTCTCAGTGCTCGGCTGCCGCCGCTCTTCCAGCTGCGGGGAAGGCGAGGTCGCCGCAATGCGCTAAGCACGGTCCCTCCGGCCCGGACGCTGCCGCCCGCTCCGGGCACAATCCGGATTCCTCGGCGCGCTTCGGCTGTACCAGCGTCCCAGCTCGGCTCCCGCTGCAGCTGCCGCTGCTGAGGCCCCGCGCCGGTGCCCGCAGGAGCGCTCGGAGCGCTGTGCGCCGGCCAGGCGCGAGGGCTCGCTCTCCCTCACTCCCACCCCGCGCTGGTCCCACCTCCGCCTCCTCCCCCTGCAGCTGCCTGCTGGGCCTTGTAGTCCCCGAGAAGCCAGAGTCGCCGAGCTGCCCGGCGCTCTAATTCTTCCCCGCAGTCCCTGCTCCGCGCTCCTGCCTCTCCTTCTGAACGTGGCAGGAGGGCACCGGACTGTCAGGCCGAGGGCGCAGCAGCGATTTGCAGGGTACAGTGGGGAGAGACGCTGGCCCGAGGCGGGACGCGGCAGCAGGGACTGTGTGTGCCTCTGGGAAATGATTTTCTCCCTATGAATCCCACTTTCCCCATCTGTGAAAGAGAGGGTAATCTTTACTTCACCTAGAGTCGAGGGGTAAATAAGGATTTGACACATAGTTCACACTCGATAAATACTAGCCAGTTTTATTCTTGAGTAGGTTGGCCCCTCCTCAGGCCCTTACCTTGGATCTTATCTTTCTCCAGACATAGAATTGGGGTTTGCAGTCAACCGTGCCACCCTGCCACCCTCGTCTTCCCGGGGCTGGACTCTGCGAATTCTACAGCGCCCTTCAGGGGCTCTGGGAGGCTTCAGCCCGCAGTGAATGTTTAGGAAGCAGAAAGTGGTGGGAGCAGGGCGTTTTGTGGTTTGGAAATTAATCAGAGCCTACTCAGAGCACCCCGCCCCGCGTGTCCTGTGGAAGCTTGGGAAGCCTGGCTAAGTGGCCTTTCCCCAGGTTTCGCCACTGAGAGCTGTCCGCTAGTGCTTCTGCAACCCAAATGGACATGAGTCCCTGGCGCCTTTGAAAAACACAAATTCTCAGGGCTGCTCAGAAGCCGGGAGTGGAACTGTCCCAGGAAAAAAGCCAAGAATCTGTATTTTTCTCTAAGGCTCCTCGGTGACTGTGATGTGAGGCCAGGTTGGGCATCTTGGTGGGGTGAGTAGGCCACACTAGATATTCTGGTCACCACTCATGAACTCCCCCCGAAAAAACATGGGAATAAACTTTGTGATTTTGGACAAGTCATGCATCTGACAAAATCAAACCAGAGGTATTCATGGAGAATCCTTTACAAGGTAGTCATGAAAGACTCAACAAAGTTTGAGCATCAGCACCCCCAGAGTGGTACACAAATACAAGTCACTGTGTATTCCGGCTTGGTGACTGTCGCAAGCTTGTAAACTAGCAGTCCAGGAGGCTGAGGCAGGAGGATCAGGAAGATGGCAAGTTTGAGCCCAGCTTGGGCAACCTGACAATTTTGCAAAACCCTGTCTCAGCTGGGTGTGGTGGTGCACACCTGTAATCCCAGCACCCTGGAGGCTGAGGCAGGAGGATCGCTGTGAGTTCGAGACCAGCCTGGGCTCAAGGCCAGACTGAACTGCATAGGGAGACCCTGTCTCAAAAAGACATGAAAAAAACCCTGTCTCAAAATTAGCAAAATTAAAAATGGGCTGCATAAGTAGCTCAGTGGAAAGGCCCTGTGTTCAATCCCCAGTATCCCCCCCAAAAAAGTTACTATTGTATGTAAGTTAGTGGTAGAACCACTGGAACTGGAAAAGTTGTGGAAGCTTGATTGATGGGATTGGACCACTTCCTCCAAATTTAAGAAGAGTCTCAAATAATTCTCTATTTGACCAGCAGGTGAAAGAATAGTGAATGACGTAGCATGCACTTCAGAAGTGTTTGTGAGAGGCCCTAGGTTCAATCCTCAACATTTTGAAATAAGTAAATAAATAAATCTTGGTGTGTAGCTTAGTACAAGCCTTGTTTCAATCTCCAATATTCAAAAAAACACAAAAAAACAGCCGGACATGGTGGCATATGCCTGTAATCCCAGCACTCAGGAGGCTGAGGCGGGAGGATCATCACGAGTTTGAGATCAGCCTGGGCTACAAAGTGAGCTCACGGTCAGCCTGAACTGCATAATGAGACTCTGTCTCAAAAAGACAAAAACAAAACAAACAACTATGTGTGTTGGCGCATGCCTACAACCTTAGCAGTTGAGAGGTTGAAACAGGAGGATCCTTGCAAGTTCAAGGCCAGCCTGTGGTACATGGTGAGTTCAAGGCCAGCCTGTACTACATAGCCAGACCCTGGCTCAAAAAACACAAAAGTGGGGGGCTGGGGATTTAACTCAGTGGCACAGTGCCTGCCTGGCAAGCTCAAGGTCGTGAGTCCGATTCCTGGCACCGGAAAAAAACCAAAAGAAGAAAAAAACCCACAAAAGTGGGCCGAGAAGATAGCTCAGTGGCACAAGTACCTGCCTGGCAAGCACAACGTCCTGAGTTTGATTCCCTGGTACCAAAAAAACCCAAAAACACAAAAGTGTGTTTATTGACTGGCCAAAGAGTAATAATGGTCAATAAATATTTGTTGAGCAAAAGAATAAATAAAAAACAGTAACTCATTTATGGAATAAGTGAACTCCAAGCATTGTTTATAGAGTTATCCCTTAGGAGCATATCCCACTTCCCTTCAACCCTTTGGCTCTGAATCAGGCCCCTTTTATCTTCCCATTGAAGCTACTAAACTCAAACTTTCTCCGCCCATGCCAACCTCCACAGTCCCCGGAAATCTGCTGGCTTCCTGGTGTACTCCCTAACTGGATGCATACCACAGTTTTGTTAGTTGTCCTTTTTACTCGTTGCCCTTTCTCTTCAGCTAGCTTCTAAACTGCTCTAGATGCAGGTCCCCATTTATGCTCAGGACTCTACTCAGGAGGTTTTTCACACACATATTTGTTGTTTTTGGAGTTGGGAAGTGTAACAAACCTGGGTAACAAGAGGGGATACAATCTGAAGGAACACGATTTCCAGGGCAAGCCAAAGAAAATCCAGAACTGAATGTTGATATTCAAGCATTGTTTTCTCACTGTGCTCCTAAAGGAGAGTGTATCCATATGCCCTTCCTTATCAGAATTCTTCTAAAACAGAGGGTTTCAAGGGGCTGGGGATTTAGCTCAGCGGCAAAGCACCTGCCTAGCAAGCGCAAGGTCGTGAGTTCGGTTCCTGGTACCGGAGAAAAAAAAAAAAAAAAAAAAAAAAAAAAAAGAGGGTTTCAAATCCAGCTCTGGGTACTACGGATGTGGTTCCGTGGTAGAGCACTTGCCTAGCATATGAGGCCCTAGTCCACCAATAAGGACCTCCCACCCCAAAAGCCTAAAGAGGAGGCACATTCTTACATGTCTTTGATTTAAATAGAAACAGAAACCTCTAAATTCGTGTCTGTTTGGTGTTGAGGGACATAGGCCTATTGCTGGACAAATTCCTCTAGAGATTTAGATTTAGCAAGTGGACACTTGCTAGCAACCGGCTGCCACTTGCTAGCAACCTAGGTTCTCTGAGAAATGGGAATAAAGAAGGTGAGGGACCCGTGGAACTCACGGGCCACTCATGGATCCAGCCACCACTCCTAAGTGATTGAGAGTCAGTTGCTTTTATCCTTCCAGCCACCTCCTCCTCTGTACTGATCCCCAGCCCCTGCTCTTGCTGAAATGCAAACCCTCTACTTCAGAAGGGCCCCAGAGCAGAGGAGGAAAAGTGCTCTCAGGCAGCCCTGAACTGCTCCAGGAGAGAAGGGTCAGTCTCAGCTCTGCCTGCCTCAGGCCTGCTCCCAGGAGTCCTGGCACCTTGGCTCCTTACACAGAAATGTAATCTTCCCTCTGAGATAACAAAGAGCTGGGAGGGTCAGGAGGATTTGTAGGCCCCTTGCCCTGCCATGGAGTTGTCTGAGGGGGAGACAAAGGCTCTGACGCTCAGGGACCTGATAACCAGTTGGGGGCCTGTTGCCTCCCAGATCTGTGAGAGGAGGGGGCCGTGCTGAATGAGATGGAGGGAAACAGAGCTCTCCCCAAAGCCCGGAGAGCTCTCTTTGTTTGGGGACGCTGCAGAAAAGCCTTCCCTGTTCCTCCAGCCACTGCGTTCTCAGAGTTCTTCCAGGGAGGAAGGAATTCCTTTCCTTCTCCCCATAAGCTCTCCACCTAGAGTTGCCTGCTCCCTCTTGGTTGGGTGATCCAGGCTCCTGCATGCCCACTGGGGATTAGCACTGCCCTTCCTGTCAGGACTGCAGAGTTAATGCCTCTGGACTGTGAGTGAAATGCGGGAGAGAAGCGACGTCTATCCTAGGTGAG